TGGTTTGGGGCAATCTCTGGGTTCTCTATTCTATTCCATTGATCTATATGTCTGTTCTTGTGCCAGTACCAAGCTGTTTTAAGAAAAGTGGCTTTGTAATACAATTTGATATCTGGTATTGAGATCCCACCTACTTTGTTCTTCTTTCTCAGGATTGCTGCAGCTATTTGAGGTCTTTTTTTATTCCAGATGAATTTTTGAAATGCAAGTTCCCGGGTGTTCGCGCACTTCCAGGCCAAGGCTCCCTTAGCCTCCGCAGCAAGGGACAAGTTCCCGGTGTTGGCGCACTTCCAGGCTAAGGTCCCTGTAGCAGCACTGATACCGGGCAAGGGGTAGGTCTATCAGTTACTATGGCGCTGCCCTTGAGCCTGCGGGGAGGGGAATGGGCTCTGTTACTCACGGATCTGCCACGGGGATTTCTGAACTTTTGGTGTCCGCAGGTCTGTAGCTGTGGTCGTAGGTCTCTGTCCCCAGTGGCTGCAGGGTCCTGGTATGCGTCTGAGACCAGACTGGCTGGTGCTGAGGCCAGGATCCTAGTCTCAAGCAGCTCTGTTTTCCAAGATGGCGTGGTTGCTGTGCCTGTGCTGGCTGCCCAGGAGTGTCCGCACTGGGAGCGGGGCTCCGCTGTCTAAGTCTGCCCGGTTTAGCATCCCCTTAGAAGACCTGCAGAATCTAACTGTCCCTAGCACATACACACACACACACACCACACCTGTCCACACACTCCTCTATCACTCCCTCATGCTCTCATATCTCCCTCCCTGCCTTCCTGCCGGTCGCCATCTTCGCCGTCCTCTAAATTATTTAATGATTTAATTTAACCTTAATTTTGGCCGAATGAATGGATTTGTTGTTTCTTTTTTTTTTTTTAACTTCCATTTCTCTTATCTATATAATAAAAGAACACAGGTCAAATCAAGTTCGTTTTATTTTTATTTTTTATTTTTTTAAATATATTTTATTGATTTTTTTACAGAGAGGAAGGGAGAGAGATAGAGAGTCAGAAACATCGACGAGAGAGAAACATCGATCAGCCGCCTCCTGCACACCCCCAACCGGGGATGCGCCCGCAACCAAGGCACACGCCCTTGACCGGAATCGAACCCGGGACCCCCCAGTCTGCAGGCCGACGCTCTATCCACTGAGCCAAACCGGTTTTGGCTCAAGTTCGTTTTAAAATCACTAGTTCCAGTATTATGTTGGTGGCAAATTCACAAAAATAATAAGCAAAAAAAAACTGCATCACATATGAGAATCATATTATTATTCTCTGGCACAAAGTGTGTCTTGAGTGTTTACCTCTATACTGGTCATCTGATCTTCAACTTTTGGCTTAAAGAAAACCACCTGCTACAAGTGCTCCTAAGAGTTCCAAGGGTTGAATTCATACAAACAAAAAAGAAGATATGTCTATCAGCAGCCAGCAAGACCTATCAATTCTACCTTAGAAGTACTTTCCACACCTGTCCACTACTCCTTCTATCTTATTGCTACCACCACTTCAGTTCACCATGATCACTGAGACAAACATGCTGACCTAAATATGAACCCAAGACTTTTTCTGGTTTGTTTTTATTTTCCTTAAAGGGATATAAGGAGAGCTATGCTTCAGCCTTCATTTCACTTATTTTTTTTAAAATATATTTTATTGATTTTTTACAGAGAGGAAGGGAGAGAGATAGAGTTAGAAACATCGATAAGAGAGAAACATCAATCAGCTGCCTCCTGCACACCTCCTACCGGGGATGTGCCCGCAACCCAGGTACATGCCCTTGACCGGAATTGAACCTGGGACCTTTCAGTCCGCAAGCCGACGCTCTATCCACTGAGCCAAACCGGTTTCGGCTTCATTTCACTTATTATTTTTCCTAATAGCTGTTGAAAGAATGTAGTTCAAAGAAAACAATGCCCCCTGAGACACGGTAGTAACAGATATGCCACCGCTGAGTTGAATGCAGAGATAAAGAGAATTGGAAACTTACTTGTTCACTGGATCGAGAGAGACAGCTCTTGATGACTTCTGTTTCCAGAATTGTACGCTTATTAATATCCACGTGCTCATAGTACTTAGACAGCCGGGTCTGCCCTTGTTTATTCACCATGAGGAAGAATTTTATCATTTTTTTCTGGACAGTATTTTTCCAAATGTAAATCAAAAGTTATGGCAAGGGTGGCTATAATTAGAACCTGAAGGATGAAAGAAAAACAGAACAGCAAGATCAATTTTCACAAAGGATCATATTAAATGTGTTCTACAGATGAACCAGAAGTAAATAAAAAATGTGTTCTGATGTCACTGATCTTCACTAATGAGGTTTTATATATTTTTTTAAAGATGTTTTATTGATTTTTTACAGAGAGGAAGGGAGAAGGATAGAGAGTTAGAACATCAATGAGAGAAACATCGATCAGCTGCCTCCTGCACACTCCACACTGGGTATATGTCCGCAAACAAGGTACATGCCCTTGACCGGAATCGAACCTGGGACCCCTGAGTCTGCAGGCCGACGCTCTATCCACTGAGCCAAACCG